CGTGTGCGACACTCCGCCTTTGAAGGGGTTGCACCTTCTGCAGACGAAGCAGTGGGTCTATTTATATCCCCCCGACCCACTGGGGGTAAGTTAGTGGTCAGTGGTCAGGAGGGCAAAAACAGGTGGTATACACACAGCCTTCAAGGGATAAAGAGAAGTGAACACTATGTTAAACATTTCAAAGGGAGATAAAAAAAATCTAAGTTTCTTTACCCAAGTGGATCTGAACACACAGTTAATCTAGAGCTCATTTGAGGAAAATAAAATATATCTGCAAAATTCAAGAATATCATGATCATATAAAACAGCACACAATGAGAGAAAAAGATCAATACGAGAGGAATCGTGATGAAATCAGGCGCTCATCAAAATAATGAAATCAAAGAAACTGCTATTTTTCCCCCCGAAGGCAGTTTTTATCAAATTTAGGTCTTTTGGCTCAACACCTTATATGTCCATTAAAAAATACATTTCAGTGTGAATTTTTAAACTAAATAATGATGAGTAAAAGCACAAAATATATAAACTTACAGTTCCAGAGGAGTCTCAAACTATGTTAGTCACCAACCAACCTTTGGTGTCCGTTTTCTCACTCATTTTACATCTGAAATCAGGAGACCTCTATCTCCTTAAATTGCAAATACATCTACTACTATTCAAGATGGTTTAGCAGTTTTTTTTAAATCAAAAGCAAGACAAATGAGCGAGCCTTAAGATGATACCAATAACTCCAAAAGCCCAAAAATTGACAAACACCTGATTCCTCCAAGACACATGACATATGGACTCTTGCTCACTCCTAGCCTCTTGTAATTCCCTACAGCTGACTGACAGTAAGGGCCAGTGGTCTCACTGTACATATTTTAATGTTTTACACCCTCATTGACACAATTTAGATCATTAAGGAGGCAGGTTGCTTGAACCCTGGCTGTCAGGGTCAATTCAAACAGCACAGGACACCACATCCCAGAAGAAGGATGAAGATACTCAATAAAATATATTATACAGCATGTCATGTGGCAATTGAATCCTCAGCTTTAGCTTGCAAGCGCATTTGAGAATACTTCTAGTGCGAAGATCTCTTTGAAACTTTCAGTATTTCTCAAGAAATCATTTGGACAGACTGTTATGCAAAGCGTACGGATCAGATTAACAAGTAAACTTCCTCTTTGGAAAGTGGTGGCACAGAGTTCCCAATGTTGTACGGATACGATAGTAAAACACGATGTACCGATACGGTTAAATAAAGATACTCAGTGCTATCTAAAAAATGCCTATTCAAAGCTATCAAAAAACAGTATATGAAGTCTTCTTTAACTAAAGGAAAATATGTTTTTTTTAAACTGCATCCTCAAAAAAATACACATGATATTGAATCAAGTACTGCTTTACAACAAACCAACAAAAAAATCTAAATAACATTTGCAACTTTATCTACCTACAAATAACAATTTTGCAAATTTATCCAACAACAAATAAGGAAAATACCAAACATTTGGTTAAAAGCACACTCACTAGCAAAATTGAAATCCAACACATTCTGTGACATCATGCTACAAAAGAAAACTGAGGGAAGGAAGATGGGTGCTAAGAGGCAAATAATACAATCACAAAGACAACAGGCTACATCACTAAATCAATATGAGAAAAGGAAATTGTGGAAAGAACACTCAGAAAGCTGCTGCACCAACCAGCTGCAACAAAACAAACAACTCACTGTGAGTGGTGCTGCATATTCTACCATTTTCACAGTATTTTGACAAGGTGCGGTCGAAGTCGGCCACAACCTAGAAATTCAATACAACATATTCAGTCAAAGATTCTAATGAAGGAGAAAAAAAGCAACATAAGGAACACAATGGCCCCATTTTCCGTAAAAGACATTAAATGAGCTATTTTTCCCAACTTTAAATTTTTTTTCGAGCTATTTATGCTTAGTTTTAGAGCCTACCTGAGCACAAACTTCAAGTTAGTAGGACTGTTGTTAGTCATTAACTCATTGACCCTGGAACAGGCTATCGTGGTTTGACAGAACAGATTTCTTTTATAACTTGACTCGAGTCCTTTCATAACTTTCATGCGCTTCAACTCAAGACAAAGAAGTGCAGCTTCCCTTAGAGAAGCTAGGTACAAAGTTTTAGTAGAGGATTTAAGGTCATATGAGCCCCAGAAGATTAGAGGTGTTACAAGACAGTAACTAACATAAAAAAGAAGAGGAGATAAGAACGATAGATGTTTCATAGGACAGAAGAAGCAAACCACACCAGAGCACCCGCCAACCACCCACTACAAAGTTTTACTCGCATTCACGGCTATTTAGATGAGAACCTCCTGATAATTAGTACATCTGTGTGCATCACCCTGGCTGCTGAATGTAGTTGCTCATCCTTTTTTGGTAGAAACTTCAGCCACTGGAAGCCGCTGCTTCGGATTACGAGTCAATTCATTTTCAGCGTGCAGTTTAACATCTGTGATATATATCCCCCCAAAAACAAGGCATTGTCACAAGATTATACGACGGCTTAGACTCAAACATGGCTAAAGAAGATCTACCAAAATTCCAGGTCACATCTGTAGCAAAAACAATGGGTAAAATTCTGTAAAACTGAGCCCTTGAAAGAAAGGGGTTTGAGAGCGTCCTAGGTCAAATTTCCTTCAGTTAGACTTAAATAAAATTCAAATCATCACAAACTTCAAATCGCTTCATTCTAACTCTCTTCAACAGTTACAACTGTCATTCCAGCACAATTTATTGAAAACAAGGAACAGGCCACTCATAAATCGCTCTCACGGAAGAGCACACTATTTCTGAAATACTTTTGATCAAGGCGTGAAAATGTACAATCAGTATACCAAGAAAAAGTATTGAAATAGTCAAGTCTTAATTTCCTATAGTAGCCCTATTGTCCATAAGGAATAACAATTATATTTAATTTCTTTGGATAAATTTTGAAGACTAGTTTAATAAAATTTGAACTGCAATATGTTTTCCTTTGATAACTCTGGGTATTATAACGTCCCCCCCCCCCCCCCCCCAAGAAGTAACATATAGACTAATGTATTTATTCATATTTGTATTCATTGATTTTATAAATAAGTACATCCTTGGTATTCAACTGCAACTCAGAGCCACCATGACTGTTGGAGTGTTGATCAAATGAAAATTATTCTTTTCATTTTGTGAAATGAAAGAAAAGCAGAGCATGAAGAATAAACACAATGCTCTTTATCAACACCTTTGAAAACAAGTTTAGTTACCTCTTATTGCTCAGGCCTTTCTCCCCTTGTATGAAAACACAAAACAATTGTCTTTGAGTTGATGTATGTACCCCCCCCCCCCCCCCCCCCCCCCTCCATTCTGTACGCTTCATCATGCATTTACAAAAAACAGAGCCACAGTTTCCTCAACATGTATCGACAATATGGTCAAGACAGAGACAATATTACACAACTTTCACTTACTGTGCGTAGTAGAGCAAATCTGATTATTTTCCATATACTTTGACAATGTCCAGTCAAAGTCTGCAACGACCTACAAGTAAATTTAAGATCCACTTCAAACCTACAATATTTACACAAAAAATAAAATACTTTTATAGGCTTCAAGAAATTCTTATTTCACTCATGAACACAACTGCATACTAAAAACAGGCGGGGGGAAAAAAAAAGGAAATAATGTTCATATCAAACTTTTGAAACTGTTTCTCCAAGAATACTTTGCAAACCAGTACATTTAGAATCTTGGAAAAAATGTTTTCATACAAAGTTATAACAGCAAGCCTTATCTGGTCCTATTATATGCGTGAAAACAGACGGAAAAAACAATATGTAGACCACATAATATATTATGTGCAACAAGAAATGTAAGTAAAACAAATTAGGTCAAAACAAATGAGCTCATAATCTAACTCATAAATAATTCAAGGTGGAATGAACATACAACTCTTAGCAGTTCATCAACCCTTTCCATAGCTCTAGAGCATTTCACACCCTAGTCTAGAAAAGAAGCTTATAACTTTTTTAAAAACTGATAGCTTTTCCCTCTCACTATGCTTTAGTGTCTTTTTTTTTTCCCCACTGAAGAATTAAACATTTTGTCAGCAATAACTTCGCTTCTTGAGTTTTAACTCATAAAACATCTCTAAACCTAGCTGAATTGTGACAAGATGATCCCCCATGCATAGACAAAACCTGGTTTGCTTTTCACATCACTGAAAGTTTTGCATCAACTGTGACAGCAACTGTGGTCAAGGCAAGAACCAAATCTTCCATGTTTACATTGCTTCCATAAAATAATGCTTTCATTAAGACTTTCAAAAGTATTCAACCCAGGTATAGCTGCATTAAAAAAAACCCCATTAAAACTATGATAGTTCTTCTTGAAACAAAAATCGAATAAGTCTTGGCTCATAAAATGTCTGAAGATGAACTGATTTTAAAATAAACATTTGATTGATCACATATTTAAATAATTTCCTAAATTGCAGTATAAAAGAATTGAGTCCGAAAAAGGGCATACTTTCTTTGTATGTTTAACAGTTATGGAAAATATTTCATAATCATATCAGAGCTCACAGGGTCTAGAGTAGAGTTATAAAAAGACTTGGAACAACTTCAACAAAACAACTGTGGCAAGTCACATTTATGTCAATAACAAAAACACAAAAACTGGACTCCCAACCTGTAGTTTATGATGGGCATCCCTCATCATGGTCCTGATTGCAGTTTCTACAAAGGCTGGATCTTTCATTCTCACATTGCTTTGGCCCAGCTCAGGTACCTTTATGTAAAATAAATAAATTTACTAACAAATCGAAACAAAAGGAAAAAAACTTTTTTTTTTTACCAGACATAACTTACTTAGACTTAAACTATGGCTCTGTTCATTCATCTCATTGCATCATACCAGAAGCAGAATCTATGCTTTACTTTTAGTTTTTGAACAATGAATCTCAGCACAAAAATTCTGCAAACTCTTTTGAATCTATATAAATAAAATATAATTACTGTAAATAAACTTTTAACTCAACAAAGCCTAATTAAAAAAGGCTTTTTTTCTATGACCAGACTGGAAGATCAAAGTGAAGAAAAGAAGAAATATCATACACACATGAGTTCCAACATTTCCACAAAGTACAATCTTACCAATTTCACGAGAGAGGGCGGAGCTGCAGTGGTGATCGGGGACATGCTGCTGCTGTGGATAGGAGATATATATCAGAACTAATTAATAACCAATTTAAGAATTTGGGTACATTTAACAAAATGAAGCGCATCACAGAATTGTTTTTATGAAGGCTACAGCAAATAGGGTTACAATGTTGTTGACACAATAATCTCAAACTAGTTCTGGTATGGATCATTCCCAAAATAATTTCTTTGCAGCAGTTCCAATAAACACCATAAGAAATTTTATTAACAATTATAGGAGCAAATCAACAGAAAATAGTTTTAAAAATCAGAAAGACAAAATGGAAGTGGATTGGACACACCTTCAGGAGACAGAAAACAAATATTACCCGCAAAGTCTTAAAATGGAATCCTCAAAGAAAGAGACAGAGAGGAAGGTCTAAAAGTATTTGGAGGAAGGACCTAGATTTGGGGCTGAAGGAGATGGGATACAGCTGGACAGTGGTGAAGACTATAGCCCAGGACAGAGTTGACAGAGAGCTCTTGTTGATGGCTTATACTCCAAAATGGGGTGAAAAAGGCTGATGATGATGATGATGATGATGATGATGATGATGATGATGATGATGATAATGAGTAATTTTCATAACACACAGAATAAGTTGTTGCATGAGCTGAAATACATGTAACAAAAATAAGGTTTTAAGTTCCTAAACTCTAGCACATTTTCTCAGCTTTCCAAGATCCAAAGGGTGTAACTTCTGAGTTGAGAAATATTTGAGCCCCTGTTAATAATACTATTTACGAATGACTTAAATCCATGGTAAACCCCACTACCCTGTTTTCACACACAGGTGTATAAATTAGCATGTTGAACTGTGCTGCTTGAAAGTACAGTCAAATCAGTTCTAGCCGCCTCCTGTCCAAGACAATTATCAGAACAAAGAACAACTTCCCCTTGAGTTTTTTGTGGGTTTTTTTAAACATTACAACGACACTGTCCAAGAAGTCCACCTGTCTAAGACAACCATTTTTCTCCTCGGCAATGGGTAGCCATCTCAGACAATTTTGACTGTATACAGTCAAGGGGCTTGATACTTACGGGACAACACTTTTAACTAAAGACAAACTGAAACAACTTTTGTCACAGGCAGTAAGTATGAGACGAAAGATTCGTGTTCAACTGTTGACACACTCGATTACGTAAGCTGTTGTCATGGAGACAGCGGCCATCTTGAAAATTGGATAGCAATTTTTTTTCTTTCCACCATTTCTACAGTTTTTAACTTGTTTAAATTCTGTAACATGCAAAATGCCACAAAGAAATAAGTGCTTGCAGCTGGCTGTTTTTATTTCTGATACTATACTTACAAAGGATCCAAAATCGTTCTAAAAGTTGGGGATATGGAATTTGATCTTTAAAAAATATTTTTGGCATGAAAAAAAAAATGTTAATAATTTTTCAGAAAAGAGAAAAAAAAACTAACCAGCCCACTTCAAGTACAAACCATTTCTCTAACTACATGCTAAAAGTCAAGTCTCTGTGTTGGAAAAAAATGGTGGAGTAAAAAAAAAGCTCCACAAATGCAAGCAGAAAGTGGTGACAAAGTATGTTTTGAGAAAAAGAAGCTTAAACATCGAAAATGTTAGTATACAACATAAAACCCAATAAAATTGAATTCAGTTAATGTTAATCACTCAGCAATTAGAGTCAATAAAATCTAGACTGAATGAGGGATCGGAAAATATCAAAAGTAAAAAGTGCTCAAAGTGAGCGAAAATCAGTCCCCTAGGCCCAAGACCCGATCCGCAAGCCCCCTTAAACATGTTGAGAGGTCGAATTAGAAGCTAGTAGAGGGCATTGGAAGCTCCTTGGCATTGGACAGGTCGTCTGTTGAGACAGGGTTTCTGGTTTCTGAAGAATGGCAGCATAGTATTAGTATTCAGTGGGTTAATTAAGTCCAAGGAAACTCATCTTACGCCAGTTTTAGTTTTATTATTCTTAACATAAAAAACGGTCTGCTTGAAACTTTTCTGGAGAAGGAACAGAAAAGAGGTCTCAGTCCATCCCTTGATCCCCCACAAGATGCATGTCTTTCAAATTTCCACCATGACCACACCAATCCTCTGTACAATCTTTTTATTCTCCTTTTCTACTTTTTTCTATACTTTGTATAAATAGAGGTCATATACACAGCAAACAGTGTGTGAGTCTTAAAAAATGCCAAGATATAACAATAGATAGCATTTGTATAGCGCAAATCCCCGCTCAACAGCAAGCTCTATGCGCTTCACAATCTATACTATGTTAGATATGTCAGTAACATTGAGCTCATAATACTAAGAGTCTAGGAAACCTACACTTCTTAGTGTCAACCAGGTCAGACTCGGAATTGAATCACTCTAGAGCGAAAAATCTTTGGTTTTCCAAAGGTCTACAAATCATACATCAATAGCCCATTCTCTCATCCAGTTTCTCCTGACCAGTGGTATGATCTAATTATGCTTTTAGCTGAAATCTCCATAATTCACTTTTATTGATCCATCTTTCAGAATCAGGGCTTCTTTTATTTCTCGGAACCCATGGCATAAACAGAACCTAAAATCAAAAAGAAATTGAAACTGAAACTGAATTGAGAGTATTGATCTTCCACTTGGCACAACTATCTCTTGGAACTGTAAGGACCAACAAAAGGGTGGATTCCATGTGGCAGATCTCCTCGCTCAGATACCTTTTTCACTTTGATGTCAGATGCTGGTCAGAGGAAATATGTGCGCCAGAAGCATTGCGCATAAATGTAATAAACAGACAATTTTAAGAGACACATGACACAAATATACCTTTAAAAAACAAATGGTTTTTGTGGCAATAGTCTCAGATGCTAATGGTGGTGACGTTAGTGAAATAATAACAACAGAGGTGATGTTGTTGATGGCGATGATGGGATGAGACGAGGATCTCTGGCCATTTTCTACTATTTCAGCAAAGCCAGAGGAGTATATGCGACTTCACTCTCAACTGTTCAAAAAGTGTACATTTACTGAACAAAAAGATGTGGAATATCATGGCCAGAATTCTTTTTTTAAACACAAGTTCTGGATTTAAAAAAGGACCATCATTTCTTTCAGTATTAAATTAAACAAGCCACGCCGACTCAAGTACATCTACTTGTACTACACAACTTACTTTTGTCCAGTTTATTCTACCTACACTTATAAGAAAAATCTTACTTTTAAAACTTGGTCAAACACAGCACAGTATGTTTCCTCTGGGGAAATTCCAGAAGATAAAAACACTATACTGCTCACCTCTCTATCTTCTTACAGCACAAAGTCTATTTCGACTTTCAAGGCACCCCAGCAATAGCGGGTCACAAGAGTGTGACAAACATGCAAAAGAAGTAGAGGAAAAATGACAATAGTCAAGAATAGGAAATAAAACGCAGCACTTCCCTGTTGTAGATCAGGCACAGTTATGAGCGTGACATTGTTGAATCAGCCATTTACAATTCTACTGTGCATGAACGAGAAATGTCCCCCTTTGGGAATGGCCTAAAGACACTTCAAGTCAGAGGCACCGCTCCGGGGGGTCTATCTAAACTGGCCCTCCCGGCATCATTAATAAGAACAGAACAACCAAGTTTTAAAGTTGACCTTGCCGGGGGCAAAGTTAATTATGTTGATCAATGAGACGCATAGCGACTCGCACTCTCGGTTTGCTGGGGGAAGAAGTGTTGGGAAGAGGCAACGGCTGTCAATTTCGTGCGGTGTGATAAAAAAAAAATATTTAAAAATTGATACAGAAAAACTATAACACACAACAAAATTAAATTAAACAGGTGGAAAGACAAATGGTGGGTGAAGTAATGATGATGTTGTAGGCTAGTGGTGGTGGAAAGACCCTGAGTTGTCGGTTAGCGTGTACTTAGACACTGCCTTTGGGCAATGAGAGGGCAATCTTTTGACTTTTGACACAATTACTTGAACTACACAGCCCTAGTAGGTAATTCTAGATCTAATTCTGGTTTTATGTAAAATCCCCCGGTGACAGTTATAAATCATTATGTAACCTCCTTACACTCACACTAACTTGAAGCCGAGTCCGAATAAATAAAACATTTTTTTTGGGACCGGAGTCCGAATAGATAAAACCCATATTCTGACTCAAATCTGAATAGATAAAAAATCTAATCGAACTCGAGTCCGAATAGAGCTGGCCTTATTATAAAGAAGACGCTAGCCGTACTTAATGACGGCTAGACTGCTAGGCTAGTCGTGCTTAAAAATGATGGCTATAGACTCTGACAAACAGCAAAAAAATAGGCCTACTGAATTGTAAAATAAATTTTTAGTATGCAGTACCTAAAGTATTTGTATTTGAGAGGAAACCAAAAGGTGCCTTACTGACAGTGCATGTATTTTAGAAACGGAATAATTAGGCCTACTAATGAGACCTGTGTACTCAACAGGTTTCTAATTGGGCCAGAAATAATAGACCTGCATGTGACTGTGAGCCTCAACCAGTTTGTCTGAAAATTTTGCGCAACCATAAGAGCTTTTGTGGGTGTCATAAGGAAGGACTTCCGAGTAACGAGCGACCACCCCAACAAACACAATAAAGAAGAGACCTAACCCTAACCCTACCCCAAAAAAGAACCTGAAACGGGCTTCATGTAAAAAGGCCAGCACAAGTCCAAAATTAAAAAATTAAAAAAACAAAAATTTTAAAAACACACTCTAAAACCAAGGAGCATAATATGGCCTAGATTCTACATCTACATTGCAATAATAGGGTTTGATACAATAACACAATAGAATTGGAATATGAATCCTCCATATATAGATCTAGTAATCTAAATAAATCTAGATCTAGATCTAGATCTTGTAGAACAAGTGAATAGGAAATAAAAGGTCTTTAACTAAAAATCCGTATCTGATTCCGAACAAAGGGACTCAGCTGTGTCTAGATTCTAAATAAATATAAATAATTCACGCACCTGATGAAATGCTTTTTCAGAGTGCTTATTGGCCCACAGGGGCATATATAAGATTTCCCCTAGAACATTTATTATTCGCCCACAAAATTGTGAGTTATCTCCCCTGTGTTTGGCGGCGCCCCCCCCCCCCCCCCCCCCAAATCCACAAATGATAATCTTAAATGAAAATACAACAGCAAAATCCACATTAAATATCAGGGAAATTATTTTATGATTATAATTATACATTTCTCTAAGGCTTAAGTTAATATATTTTACATCTGAAAGTAAGTCAATTTCTACTATAATATTAGGGAAATATAGATCTAGATCTTGAATGACTCCCAAACCAAGAAGATCCCAAAAGATACCACAAACTCATTTGTGTTATTAAGGATACAGAATGCTAATAGTAATAGCCGTATTTATTAATAATCAAAAACTATTAAAGCTAGGGAAAGAACGAAAAGTCCTCTCATCTTCAAAAATAGCTCAACAAATTAGCGCATCAATCACATAATTTAAATTGAGAATGTATAGCTTGAAAATCTAATGCTAAAAATAAAAAGATGAACAATAGCTAAGAAGTTAGAGAACAAGTTGGGACAATACCATGTATGAAATACTTTGAAAAACAATGCATTAAACGGCCCATGTTGGCCAATAAGCCCCAGTTTATTTGCCCATGTGGGCCAATAAGAGCAGCCATGCTTTTTACCAACATTAATATTACAGCACAACCTATGATAGGGTGTGACACAATAGAATTGGAACATGAATCCTCCATTGAGGTCTATAATGATCTCTATATAAATCTAGATCTAGATTCTATTAGAAAAGTGAGTCGGACTTGAATGAATCCACACGATCTGAATAATTGAATTAGTCAACAAACGAAATTCAAAATGGCCGCTCGTGCACGAAACTGAAAGTAGATAATTTAGGTCGCCGTCCTTTTTCGTATTCGCATTTCTACTCAGGCTCCGACAATTATGTAGGAAACGCCGACGTCGGCAGTCGGCGGTTGGCATGAAAACGAAAGTGCCAACAAAGCCGACGGGACAAAAAGGGGGCGCTGGCAGTCGACCAGGCCTCGCACTACGCACATTGACTGACACAGGTGGGACTAGCGATAGCATCGGCCGGGTCGCTGGTCGGGTCGCGAATGTCGGATTTCAGTCATTTTTCGTATTCGCATTTCTACTCAGGTTCCGACAATTATGTCGGAAACGCAGACGTCGACAGTTGGCATGAAAACGAAAGTACCGACAAAGCCGACGGGAGAAAAAGGGGGCGCTGGCAGTCGGCCAGGCTTCGCACTACGCACATTGACTGACACAGGTGGGACTAGTGATAGCGTCGGGTCGCGAATGTCGGATTTCAGATGATTGTCGGCAAACATGCAGGTCTAGAAATAAGTACGGCTCGACTGGCAGGCTAGCCGTACTTAATACTGATGGCTGAATTGTAAATAAAATTTTAGTTTACAATACCAAAAGTATTGGTATTTTAGACGAAACCAAAAGGTGCCTGACTGACATCATGCATGTATCTTAAACCGGATTAATTACTCGATCATATGAGAACTGTGTTTAGTTTAGTTTTAGTAGAAGTTATACGGCGCTCGCAACTGATAAGGTCATATATGAGCGCCAGAAGATTAGAGGTAAAAAACATAAAGAAGTTACAAACATAAAAAAGAGGAAGATATAAGGACAATAGATGTTTGATAGGAAAGAAGAAGCAAACCACACCAGAGCACCCACCAACCACCCACAGACCTGTGTACTCAACAGTTTTCGGTCAATAGGGCCTAACCTAGATTTTAGATCTAAGTACGGCTAGATTGGAATTCTCCGCCAGTATGGTGACATTCGTAACAAAGACAAACTAGCACACAAGATTTTCTCTACCTTCGTAGCCTGCTTAGAGACCTGGCCGTACGCTAAGCTTTGCAGATGATGTATTGGTATATAGGCAGGGGAGAGATCGGGAGCTGATTGCAAGGAGCATGCAGGAGGAATTAGATTGAATTGGTGAATGGTGCGAACAGAACAATGGAAAACTTAATCCAGCGAAGGCAGGGGTACTGTGGACCAGTCTCAACAACAGGGCAGTCAAGGCTATCATGCCTACTGTCAATATCAAGGTACGCAGTTGGAAAGGCAAGAGAAATTGAAGTACCTGGGCATTACCTTTGACCGCACCCTCTCGGCAAAAAACCATGTGACGAATATTATCACCAGAGCAAGGAAAGGACTTGTTGCACTGAGAGTGATGGCTGCATCTAAGCCCCAACGCGCCCTTATGATCATGCTTCAAGCGATTGTACTGTCTGTAGTGGACTATGGCCTTGGTATGCTCACCCTATCCAAAACCCCAACTACATCACATCGCCTCGAAGTCATTCAAAATGAAGGAATGAGAACTGTTCTTGGATGCACCCGTGACACAGCAGCATCAGCGATGAGATATCTGCTGGACCTGCTAACGTTAACCCACCGACACAACAAGCTAACACAATAGCACAAGTCAAGGCCTACCTTTGAGTAACAGCAGACGAACGTCACCCTCTACATCCAAAAATAGGAAACCAAGTACGCCAAAGATTGAAAAGAGGATCTTCATGGATGGTGCAGGCGGAGCAAACTCTCGATATGTGCTGTGAAATCGAGGACATAAGAAGAGGATGTGACTGGATGAGGCCGGAGAAAGACATGAGCAACTTCATGAAGGTGATAGCTACGCTAGGTCGAGAATGTCGCGAGTGGCCAGCAAGTGCAACTAATGCGGAAATTGTGGCCATCCTTGAGGAAAATTCAGTGATGGGTGATGCTGTCATCTTCACCGACGGATCAGTGAGGCGTGGCCAGAAATCTGGGTGGGCGTTCAGTGCTCGAGTTGACGGGAAGATAATTAAAGAACAGTCTGGAGCCTTCGAATGCACTACGTCGAGCATGGCAATGGAGGTCAAGGCAATAACAGAGGCGCTGGAATGGATCAGCATGGAAGCGTATAAACATGCCCTGTTTGTCACAAATTTGATGAGCACCCTAGAAAAAATCAGGAGTGGGTGGCTCTACAGTGACTGGAGAGCTTCCATTGCAAATAGCCACCTCCTAAAAATTACATGGGTGTTCTGCCCTGGTCACGCCGGGGTGCAGGAAATGAGAGTGCTGACGAACTTGCCGGCAAAGCAGCATCCAATGGCCGAATCATGCTCGACCCACCAATTGCCAATGGTGATCGCCAGAAGGAGAGCCTTCACAACCAAGAGGAGACAGACTCCCACACACTCAGCACAATAAAAGAAAAGTGTGTGTGGGGCACAGCG